AATTGCGGTTTTAATCTAATAGGCAAGCCAAGTTATAATAACCGCCCATGGACATTTCATTTGCTACACCCGTAGGGTTGCAGCGTTGCCAGCTTAATAATAAAGTGGACCCCGGTTACCTCAAACATACGAAACGCAGAAGTATGAACACTTCCACTTCAGTCAGTCCTCTGCGTGGTCGTGGGACTTCCCCGGACCTGTCCATTCGTGCAACAGCGGAGACTGCTGCGTGGCTACCACACAGCATGCGGCCTCCAGCCAGCCAGTCGCATTTTACATGGGCGGCGCGAGCGTCCGTTTCCGATCCAGGGCAGCCCTGTCACATGCGGTGGTCAGGGGAAAGCCCACAAGCGCGGTCGATGTCGCGAGACCCCGGAATTTGTACTGCGGCTTTTAGATTGGGTCCGACGTTTGCAGATTTGCCGGCGATTTGCTTGATTATTCCAAACAACCTTTCTTACACAACCTACAGCATAGTTTTCATGCTATTGTCAGTAACTTGTGCCTGATACTAGCATATTGAATGCAAATAAAACGCACGTGTAATATACAGATTTTGATAAAAATATAAAATACAGAAAAAAAAAACCGCCCCCTAGTGGGAGTCGAACTAGCGCACGAAGGGTTCCGTATCATTATCTATAAAAACGGCAATAAAATCATGTCTGTTGTATGGGAGAGCGGCACTTAAATATTTTTTAATCTATTTTTTAGTATTTAGTGATATATCGGCAACATCATCTGTGATACATTTCTACTAACTATCATGAGAGACAACGGGGTCTTAATAATAGTTTAACCCTTTGGGTCCGGAACCTAAAAGGATTCAAAGTGAATTGTGGCTTGCGTGTTTGTCCAGTTTCAATGTGATTTTTTAAAACCATAAGTTCGTTCACACTCGATTATATCAACTTATGCATGCGCGTGAGTGAGGTTAGCGTTTCATAAGACAGAGTCAGGAGAGTGAATTAACGGCAAAATAGGTTTTTATATAAAAAAGAAATAGCAAATGAGCAAGCGGCGATCTGATGGTCAGTAGTCGCCGCCGCCCACAGACCAGCCAAGTCCAGTCTATTTAAGCGCTTAAAAAGAATACTTCCTCTCAAGCATAAAGAAACAATCTTAAACGTAACACGAAGACGGTGACACATCACTGACATACAACGAGTAGGAAATGGCTAATTTCGTCACTCGGGTCGCGTTAGCATTAAGCTGTCATGTGCCGTTAGTAATTAATCACCGTCATTATTTATAAATCATTTATTTATTTCATAATCGCGGATGGAGTTGTTTTTCTGTAATGCGAGAAAGTGGCAAACGAGCTGGCGGTTCACCTGACGTTAAGTGGTAACCTCTGCCCGCGGACATTTGCAACACCCGTGGTGTGGCAGATGTGTTGCCTTTTAATAAAGTGGGCGCCGGCTACCTCGCTCATAAGACGAAACGCAGAAGTGTAGCACTACTACTTGATGCCGGTCTTCTGTGAGGTCGTGGTACTTACCCGGACGACCGCCTGCAACAGAAACATTCGTGCAACAGCCGAGGCTGCTGCGTACACTTGTATTGACACAAGAGCTGTACCATGAGCCATGACGCTAGTCTATTTTCATTTCGGTCACAATTGTTTCGGATGTATTAATATCCGAAACAATTACATATATATTAATACATATTATATATTAATATCCGAAACAATTACCTGTGGGTCATACAAATAGTTCTCCCATGTGGGAATCGAACCCGAAACTTCCGGCGGCGAAGTCAATTCCTTTGCATATGCGCCCAGGAGTGATTATTTGTATAACTACTGAGCTGAGAACTCGACTCTCATCCCCCAGTTTGTGGATTAATGGATTAACCTGGATTCCTCGGAACGAACTAGTTGAACGTAATTCCATTTAGCGAGCTCTCGTAGCGGACATATTTAACATTTATTAGTGTACATATTCATGGATTGTTATACATATTAGTTATATCTATGATTGTTATATATATTAGTTGCGTCAAACGCAATGTAATATCGTTGACACGTTTCTTACACGATCTTATTAGCTTAACACTACGCAATAATGTAGCGTAATCCAATCATACCCGAAAAAGAGTTAACATAAATCAATTTCAACCTAGACTTAATTTGTTGTTAAGTCTAGGTTACGTAGACATTACAGATACTCCCAATCCGTATTCGTGCACGGTTAAACTGTTAAGTACCTGGAGGACCGAGCTTGGCTCGGTTTTTTTTTTGGTAAATCATGTATTTTGGAAATAAAAAAAATAAAAAATAAAGAAAATGATCTGGTATAGATAAAAAGTAAAAAGATAAGTGTGTAAATGATCGCGATACGAACCGCGGCCGTCTTTTCTGGGGCCGCCCGATTACCGACCGAGCTATTATAACATTTTTTTGCGGCGAAATTTACCGTCATATTCTAGTGATATTAAGATACTGAATTCACGTGAAAAAATTAGGTGACAAAGTTCACGAGCATATGTTAAAATGCATCAAGTCTTGCGTCTACTGTGAGAGAGCTGTGGCACCGCGTAAGAAAGCTGTTAACAGCGCTGTAAATTTTATACGACAGCACGTCGTATTATCTGAAGTAGTGTATCATGGTATCCCAACAGTAGTGGATAATGATGTAGATACATGCGAACTTTCACTTGTATTAAATTACACTAGTCATTAAATTAAAATACGCAAGTGGGAAATCCGAGGTTCGAATGAATTTAATTGAATACCTATCATCGTTATTGGTTATGTGTCTGCGCAGAATTACAAACGCCAGTAGTTTAGAAGTGAAATTTAATGCGGACTTATCGTATAACATATAGGCTTATACCCAATTATAATTATTAACTGTAGATGTAATCAAGTTCAATTTATATGTTAAGGCATTATATAACTATTACAACTCGTTTACAAACACACTAGTAGAAAAGAGTAAATCCAGGAACATTCGCCTCTAATATATGAAGCCTTCCTCTTTCGACTAATGTTAACATCCCATTTTCTCTTTTCACTTTTATTCCAGTTTATAAATATATTATAATATACATAAAATAATAGTTTTATTGGTCACGGGGCCAAAGTACCACAAGAAGGCTGTAACTGTTCGATACTTCGTGAGTTAAAGAAACCGCAATAAGTCCGTAAAGCAGTTTAATTAAAATATGTAGCAATCGCAAAACATGAGCTCATACAACTATACAATAGAAATACTTTACCGAACTTGTACTATAATAGATAAATAGATATAATAGATTTAAGAATATTCTATTATAATTATAATACAATCTTTTATTATAAACAACGCAGATGACAACAATTAAACGCTGTGTAATTGTAATCGCGGACGCGTCACGAACCGCATGGTCTATTATAAACAAAAAGGTTCATTAATCCCGCACAATGCTACCATAAAAAACATGCCGGTAGCACGCGTTGGCAACGTATAGCATATTTTCTCTTCTTCAACCACACGTCGGAGCGTATACGTGCGAAAGGGAGGGGCGTATTTGTAAACAACCAGAGGGGGTCGGACGTCCATGGTTCCGGTGTTACCGACGCGTGACTGTTCCTTCCTGGTGCCACAGACTCTGTGTTATGGTTATTTAAAAAAAAAACACGGTTGTAATTAGTACGTCTATCTTTTGATGTAGCTGGCGTATAAATTAGTTACAGTTGCATGATTTCGACTTTCAATATCGAAAGTAACATAACATGATAGTAGTTGTGTCAGCAGTGTTACAATGTTTTATTTATATGACCATTTAATTTATGTACATCGATACAGTTACGAATTTAAGATGCCAACTTTCTCGTATTTTAATGACATGAAATAAAATGTAATCAGGTGTTAAATAATATTGAATAACATTATGTTTTTCTTTTATTATCACGAGCCGTGATAGCTCAGTGTCCGGGCGCTCGCCTTTAATTCAATATACTCGAGCAACCTGAGTTCGATCCCCGGTGCCGGCACCAATGAAGTTTTTAACTTTAAGTGCTGAATTGTCACGTGCTCCGCGGTGAAGGAAACATCGTGAGGAAACCTGCATATTTTCGAAATAATAACAAAAAAAAATATTTCGAAGATATATGAAGTCCGCCAATCCGCAGTGGGGCCGCGTGGTGGACTATGCCCTGATACCCTCTGTATAGAGGAGGCCTTTGTCCAGCAGTGGGACATGTATAGGCTGTTACTTTTTACTTTTTATGTTTTTAAATGTTTCATTGCAAAAATTCGATTCCACTTATGAAATTATAGTAAATGACAATTGGTATTGTTACATACTACTCATTTTATATTTGAAAGAAATAACGATAAAATAAATGAATCGTAAAGCATCACTAATATAATACTTTTCATAGTTCACTTGCTTACGAATTCCAGGTTGACGACATCGAAACCAAAATTTTACCGCTTCATAACATGAGAACTATCGATAAAACTTACGATTACATAAATCATCATTGCAATAAAGTGAAACTGGTACGGTACGTACTAGATCTGCAAATGTATTGCATGGACGAATTTTATGGTTGTTAGGTCGATATGGCGCAATGGTGATGCGGGTTCCCGCAGGGCATCGTATTCGGCCCCCGACATTTCTGAAAGGTCACTAATGTAGGATAGCTATTGTCATGCGACAAACTCATTCCAGTTTGTAAATAGACGCTCGACGTTCCAACCTCGACGAGAAAAACTCCACAGCGAAGCGCATAGCGATATCAAGGAAACCATAAAACCTTAACGATGCAACTGAAACCTAAATGTTAGTAATTTTATTGCAATTGTATTGTAATAGCATACCTACGAGTGCTCGAGTTTTATCTAATCGCCCACCGTTACGCATTCCTGCCAGTACAATAAAACCTTGGCCACACCTGATTGTTCAGTTTTAAATGAAATATCGTTTTAGGAAAATATAAAAGTGTATTCGTTTAATTCTTTACATATTTTAATTATACATTCGTTATAAATAAATAACAAGTATCACATCTGACGCCTGTTGCCGAACGAGATGCCGGACTGTTGGCCCTTGTTTGTGCCGTACTGCAGGGAAATTACGTTTTGGCCCGCCTTCAGCTGCTCTTCGCTGAAGTCTCGAACGTTCTTATCCGCTTCCTTCGGCCCGATGGACGGCTTGCCGTAGTTGCCGGCCTTCCTGCCCAGCGACTGCAGGCATATCACGACCGAATACAGGTTCTGTCTCTCCCACAGGTCGATCGTCTGGAAGGTCTCCTGCGGCGGCACGCCCAGCTTCTTCGCCGCCTCGAGGAACGCATTTATATTCTCCATGCACTTGAACGCCATCGTGGACTGGTTGATCTTCTTTACGGAGCCCTCTTGTATCGCGTTCACCAGTTTGCACAGCAGCGTGCCGTCCTTGAGGACCTCGTAGAGGTTATCTGCGCTGCCGCTGGTGTCGGCCGGGGCACCGGTCAGCTTCTTGATCCATTCGAGGGTTTCGTGGGCGATGTCGTCGTTGTATTTGCTGTTGATCCTCTCCTGTGCCTCTGCGTTGATGCCCGCCTTCCCTGCGCGGTAGTCTGCCATTTCTTGTGTTGCCCGCTGCGCTGACTTTAAGCCACTGAGCCCGCGATAGCCGACTTCGGATATCGCCGATACGAGTTATCGCTCGTTCCTCGAACGTTACCGCTTCAATTTATCGCGTTACTTATCATGCGGCATTTACGATTATTGAAACAATGTAGGACTGTGACAGCCATACCGGATTAGTAATTAAAGTTACCGCACGCTATATTTTATACGGGTAAGCATCGTTTTCCACGTCGGCAAACGCCCGATGACCTAACGCTTAAACAAAGCGGACACGATTAGATTTTACAATCTTCTTGTGAAACTTTAATGGAAATTTTTCCATTCTTATCGATGGTTCTCTAATGTCTGAAACTCGGTATAATCTACGGTAATTTATATTAAAGTTTTAGAATATCCATATTGTTTTGCTTTACTGTGTATTCAGTTACTGTTTACGAAAAATCAATAAGAATAATAATATGTTTATTATGTCACATGAATAAGGCGAATCTTTCTTGTTGACAGTTTAACGTAGGTACTAATAAATTTTCATTCGGTTGGTTGCATACGCAATAACCTAGCAATAAATTTAAAGTTTCTTGCAAATGTTTATGGATACGTTCTGTTTTAAAAAATATAACAATCGAGACGATAATATCTAATACAATTTTTTCGTATCATGAACCATGAACTTGTATTCTTCAGACTTATAGCCTCCATGCATGACGTCATATGACGATGCTTTTATGTTTTTGCAACACCTAAAAAACGAATGAATAAATGCCAATACGATAACCGCAGTTTCAATGATAAGTAATCTTCGCGATGCAGACTTAATGACGTGTTATTAATTATGGGAAATGACTGCTTATAATATACTATACTTCAGCAATATTTAAGAAAGATACGTTATTATATTTAACAACAACTCACAGTGGTATGCGAGTTTGTTTGCATATCAAACAAATTATGGTCCAGTTTAAAACTAAAGCTTATCTAGAATAATTAATATCGTAAATTAATTTGTACACGAATAATATATAGCTTTTAAAGCAGGAGATATTCTATATATCGTTTTTTAATGTATACGTAACTCAATGTAATGCTACTTTGGCTCTTGTGTTTATTCAATACCCGTATACCTATCTCAAAAAGCCATTTTAAATAATAGCTAGTGGTAAAAGGCAGGGGTGCATTGTTAATGTTCCGTATGTGGGAACCAGTAGACCTAATTTGGAGAACGAAAAACGGCCATACTCTCATCGTTTAGACCAAACGCTACTATTACAAAAACGATGTTCTTTTTAACCGACTTCAAAAAAGAAGGAGTTCTCAATACGACTGTATTTTTGTTACCTCAAAACTCTCGACTAAGTGAACTTGATGACTTTTTTTATTTGAAAGCTGGTGCTTCCCATAGTTATTCCATTGGTATTGGATCTTGAGGTCCGGAGATACTTAGGGAACTCATAAAAATCAATTATAAAATGAATACAGAGCGAGATATTTGAAGTTGGTTTTGTTTTTCGTTAATAAAAAGAATTGACATGTATTATTGTCATCTCTGCTTATGCTACTCCGAAAGACTGGACGTATCCGATTTGTGGAAACGATGAAAGTAATATTTGGTTGTTCTAATCGCACCCAATGCGTGATATTGCAGTTGATCATTAAAAAAAAAATTCAAGGAAATATATTTCGTTTCAGTAAAATAATCTCTCGAATTCCCAATTCAATATTCAATATTCATCAAGTATAAATATTTTGATTTGTTAATACTGGATACCGGCTCACTTTTATTTCAAACTAAAGAATATATTCAGCTATAGATAATTGAATTTCGATACAACATTGGCATTCGCTTATAGTTACTATGCATATAAAATATAATCAAAAGTAACTGTACATTCGGCATTAATTTATACTTGCCATTGGTCCATCAGGATACAGGATTTTTGTTATGGATTAAGACAGCCACAAAGCCAACTCAATTAACCCTTACGGTAATATTTAAAAATAATTTAATGAGTCAAAAGATTACATCGACCTTTTCCAAGTAATATCAACATGGAAAGTTCTAGAGAAGCCATTGGCGAATCTTATCGCCGGCAATATAGTCAGATGTTATCGCGAGAGATATCTTTCCGATTGCTCGAGTATTGTGTCGGTCACTTTTATACGATAATTAGGTTATGAACGTAAAATTGAGAAGTTAATTGAGAAGTCGATATTGGGACAACAGAAATTATAGGAGACAGGCTGATTAAGTACGCCCCTAAAGTATTCCCGCTAAGTAAAAATTAAGCACGCACGGCTTACTTGACATTTACATGCGATTTGAATGCACTGATCGCCGATTGAAATAATTTCGGTATTTATTAATAAAAGTATTTGATTTTATTTTTAAAACATTTTCAAGACTGGCTGGATAAATCAGTATTATTAAAATAGGTTACAAAATATCAGAAAGCGCCAAGCGAATGAGAAAGCGTCACAATGTTGAAGGACGGCAGATTTTGGAGAGAAGCGATAACTTATTATAAATGTAGAAATTTTTGTGTATGGCTGATGTCTCATTACTAATGACCGTGTGTTACTAATCACTAATGAGGTGGTTTACTCCTCTCTTAACAGGTACGCAAATGAAAGTAGGTAATGCAGTAGGTTATTATTGTCATGTACTCAGCCTAGTCGATCTTCAAGCACCATCATTGGCAAAATCACTGACGTATCAATGGAGCCATAATAGGGAAAAAAATGTAGAAATTTATACAGTGAATGTATGTATATTGAGTAATTAAGTTAAACAGAGGTAACTATGAATATCAAACATACATCGTTTGCATAACCATATATTTTCATCACCAAAGAAATTTATTATCTAGCGTTCACAGCGCTTTTTATGTTCATTGTGGTCGAATTATGGTTTTGAATGGTTGACGTTGTCGCCTGTACCGTTATTTATAAAGGTCAATAGCTTAACAGGCGGTATAAGCATTTACAAATAGACTACTTAAATGCGGAAGTGTATGTGCATTCTTACATTAAATACGGCGTTTTATCTTAACTACAGATAAGTCATCACTGTGTTTATATTTTATCGTTTTTCTCATTTACCGACGATGAGCCACGAAACAAACGTAGGTATATCGCAACACCCAGGCTTGTAAGCATAAAACATGACATGTACTTTGAAATATTTAAAAATGGCAAAAAAAAAACTATGTTGCGCTATTGGTAAACAGCTAGTTACACGGCGCAGACCCGCAATTTTTATTGTATTTAATCAGCGAGCGAAACAATGGCTCCGGTGAATTGGTACGAACAAAAGACCGCTATCACAATTTTGAACTGATAAACTGTCCGAAAAGATTATGCTAAAACTCCCATGTTTCATGTCTTGTCATTAAAAAAATATCTCTCATTGAGCTACTGGAATATGTTGAATATTAGAGTAATAAAGTATAGGACTTTATACTTTCTTTTTCTCTTTTTTTTTCCTATAAAGAAACACTGCTTTTAATTGGGAGATAACAACTAGATAAAAATTGATGACAAAGTAGATAATATCCTGGAATGTATTGACATCAAAAAGAATAAATTAAATTATTTTTTATAACAGGACAAAATTCCCCATTAATAACACAAGTCTATAATAATAGTAATCTTAACCTTAGTCATAGGAAATGGTGGCCTTTGTATACAGATTTAAATATTTTTTGTTGTTGTTTGTGTATTACACAACAATTATTGTAGGTTAATAAGAATTCGACAATTATTATTTGATATTGTCTTTAATTCTTTTTAATTACTTTAAACTTCAAACAATATTTATAAACACTTCTTTTTTCGGTAAAGGTAAATAACTTTAACTCCGGCGTAATTCAAATCAAATAAATTTTAAACGATAGAGATAAATTTCTAATGAATTAATCAACAAGCAGAATTCGGCGGTCGCTTATAGTTTTCGAGAAAAAAAATATTTAAAACTTGTTTTTTTGTACTAAGAAATCCACCATTTTATTCGTTTGACTTCAAAAGTTCTTTACACAGTTCAGCCAACATGATAAATATAGGAAGCGGGCGCCATCATACACGTATCGATATTCCGATTTTTTAAATTTAATGAGTCACAGAACCGACACAGAGCGAATCCGACTCGGATAGATTAGGTTAGAAGGTTCAGGCGGGAGCAGAGCTCCCGCCTTAACCTTCGATGTTAGGTTTTTTTTTTTGACCACCAAGAAATACGAGCTGAATTGACATATTGACAACAAAAAATGGCGGATTTCTATAGTAAAAATCACACTATTTCATTATTTATTTTTTCGAAAACTATAAGCGACCGCCAAATTCTGCTTGTTGATAAATTCATAAGTGAGTTTTCTCTATCGTTTAAAATTTATTTGATTTGAATTACGCCGGAGTTAACGTTATTTACATTTACCCTTTTTTCTATTCAACAAATTAGAAATGAAGATTTTCATAATAACAAAGACAAAGTACAATATTCCCATTATATTATCCTATTGTGATTAAAAAGAAATATATGTCAGTAAAAAAATTACATTAAAACTTACTAAATTATAAACTTGACTGTATCCAAACAAACAATTGCTGAAATTGGATTATATTGTATAAAGAATTCACAAATTTATACAAACACAGTTTTTTTCAAAAGTCCGTGACAAACCCATAAAAAAGTTTGGAGTTTTAAAAAATTTTGGAGACCTTAAACTAAACACCTCTTTGTCGAAAACAGTTCTATTGTTTAATACTTAAGTATGATTTTAATAATATGGGTACATATTAAACAGCGATGGCACTGACTACTTTCGTTTTATGATTATTGTGTACTCGTAATTTAATTAGTTAACGAGTCGTTACTTAAAATCACCTTTTAATAAAATTTAAAGCGTTCAACGTATCAAATTATGACGAAATGACAGAACTTAGGGACCTATTAAAAATTCTTTGAATGCTACTACTATAAAATATTGCTTGCCTACCTTACATATTTGTCGTTTAATAATAATTGCGTTTAATAATTTCGTTTAATAATTTAATATGTAGTTGTAAAACAAGTCTCTCGGAATTCTTCTAATACGAATTTCGCAATTCGAATGGCTGAATCGAGTGACTAATAGTTTTGAAACTCACATAGTCAGCGTGATAAAACTTTGATAACGCTCATAGGTAACTATGCACGTATCAACTTAAAATCAAACAATAAATTCGAAAGGCAACAACATCGAATTACTCTAATAAGTAAACTTACCACCACTTGAAAACACTAAAAACTTTTGTCAGCGTATCACAATGCGCAAAAACATGTATAGTTAAATATTTAAATCCATTTTATTTCACACCACAACACTTTCACAGTTCCGTTGCTAACCAGCCGGCTGTGCGGCGAATTTTGTTGATACTTGGCAGTGCGAAAAGAATACGTTACCTACGCCAGATCCGCTGGCCGTTCGAAAACCTTCGTTAGTCGTTAGTTCCTTTCTACGACCTCCCCTCTACAACCCACGTGACCTCATACCTGATTGGTTACTTACTTTGTAGTGATGCGCTTATTTCGTTAACTATCGATACATCATTTATGGAGTTTTAAAATATATCGTATAACATAAGTAATATTTTTCTTTTTAAAGATAATGCAAGCTTACCTTTATTGTTTTAATCGTTGTTCGAATTAGCATTATAATGAGAGTATAACGCGATGCAATTTGATGCATTTTTTTATTGAACAAAATTATTTTTGTTCAATTTGTGGCATAGTGGAGACGAAAAACTTACGATAACTAAAATACGAGATATATATATGTGATTTTAACGTATTAAGGAACCAGAGCCCATTCACCGTAGGACTATGCATGGCAAAAGATTTTTGTGATGGACTGCACAAAGATATTGGAAGCGGGGAGATGAGTAAGAATGAATAGAATAAGTATCCAAAAAATAGTCATTAGTGCTCATAAGGAGCGTGGTTCGTGAATAGGTAACCAGTGAAGTTGAGAATTATTGGACAACACTAGGTCATATGACAATGTCAATGAGAAAAAAAGTTGTTGATGTTCATTTGAATACGATTTGGCTTTCGATGAATCTTTTATGTTCAAAAAGTGAGCGGTGAAAACCAGAAAACCCTACGTCATAACAGGCTCAATGAGATGTTGATTTCCATAACTCTGTTTATTTTAAATGGACAGACATTTTTTTTTATGAAAGAAAGGTCAAGCTTGCTGATGGTTGACCTCATGTTAAGTGATAATTGCCGCACATTGACATTTGCAACACGCATAGGGTTGAAGATGTATTGTTGATCCTTATTATAAAGTAAGCCCTGTCTACCTAACTCAACAAACGAAACGCGGACGTCCACTTTACGCCGGTCTTCTGAGAGGTTGTAGTATTTATCTGGATGCTCCTGTCCATTCCTGCAACGAAAACTGTTGTGTGGCCTTTATGGTTACCAATATATAACGTTGCATATCTTATTTGGTAAGTTAGACAATTTTTAATTTAAATGTAATAAAAAAATGTTATTTATGTAGTTATCGATAAAGATTTTATTAAACACTATAGCCTCTTTCTTTTCAATGACGTTTTTGCGTGCGTTTAGAAACTAACAGTATAAGTCAAAGTTAAGGTTATGATATCCTTATGCTTTTTTTTTTAAATATTATAATAAACAATAATGTACAAAACATAGATATATTAACAACAAATAACTGTTACACTTTAAAAAAAAAATCTTTCAGGCGCCTTATTGAAAAAAATAGCAAGTTCTATTTTTTGCGAAATTACGAATGTAATTAAATTTGTAATGTTTCTTTTTAACTATTATACAATAATATTATGTTTGAAATAAATTATTTAAATTTTACCCATTTTACTCATTGGCAACGCATTTGCAAGCCCTACGGTTTTGCAGATGTTCATGGCCGGCGGTGATCACTTACCATCAGGTGAGCCTCCTGCCCCTTTTTTTTTCAATAAAAAAAACAAAATTATTAAGGAGGGAATGTTCCTGTTTAAACATTTTGCCCATCTTTTAATCAGAATCAATAAATTTATAGAATAGGTCTTAGCCCAGTCGATTTCATTTTGAATTTAATGATTATATTAAAGATACCTCGTTTGTATCATACCGCATAATACCATCGTTACTACCTTGATGGTTTCTGTGTGCGTCTCTGCGTTATACATCTTTAAAAAGAAAACCTGTCCTACCTTCAATCACCTGTAGTGAATGTCACCGCCACTTTTGTCCACCAATTTACTTCTCGTCTCGTCGAAACACTTCTACTTTACGCCGGTCTTCTGTGAGGTCGTTGTACTAACCCAGACGAACCTGCCCATTCGTGCAACAGCGAATACTGTTGCGTGAAGGTCTTTTTTTATAGATTAAATGTATTTTTATTAACGATTTAAAAAATACAGGTAGGCTTTATTAAGTATATCCATTTTTTTATTAAATTCTAGACATAAATAATGTTATATAAAAATGATAAATATTTAAAATCACTCGTTCGTTTCAAAAGTATACGACGCATTTATGACTACCGCATTGTCAACAAGTTCTGTTTTTTTAGGGATTGGAATGGCAATTTTTTTTATAAAATATGTTTTAATTTCAATAAACGATTACACTACCGAGTTTGAGAATCCTTCAGAAATGGCGCCCTGTATAAACTCTAAGCGTGGAAAAATTCATACTCCTGTATCCTCGTACTTTTCATAGTAAAGGGGTACAAAGTTTGTGCTTTACCTATTAATATACAGATTAATAAATATTTTATTTGGTTTCCGAAAATGCCGCATATTACCTATCTATGGAACTTACGGTTTCCATTTTCAGATCGAATATTGCAACCCAAATTACCCAAATTTAAATATGCTCAACATTAATTTCCTTAAAAACTTTTCATAGCAGACAACAGTCCGTCCTCCCTAATAGTTTTTGACAATTATTACTTGTTGGGAAGCAGAATTTTTTTAGTTCGTAAGTTTTATTTGTCTACTCTATGTACAAATAATATCAAGGCAACATCTCCAAATATATGAGGAGTGTAAACAAATCAGTAAGGTGCGAGTTTATGTGCGCCTGGTATTGGCGCGTTTTGAATTCGAAATAGCAGGCGTTCTACATCTGTTATCATTCCCTGGTAAAATAACAAATAAAAATAAACTGAAGAGGCAAATTAGACCATTGGAATACATATAGTTTCGTACATTTTCTTTCTATGTGTTCTTTGGTGGTGAACAGTCTTTAAAAAAATCGTAGAAAAAGCGTGCATTGATGATCTTGTAACTGATTATTGATATATTAATAAAACAATTTTGACTTTCTACTCTGGAATTTAGAATTGCATTTGTAAAAGAGAAAATATTCTGTTTTATCTGAGAAATTGGTTGGTGGTTATGATACGTTATGATAATAAATAAAAAAATTTAAGGCCTTTTAGGGAGATTAGAAGTGGAATTGTAATGGAACTAAGCAGATTGTTAGGGTTCCGTACCCAAAGGGTAAAACGGGACCCTATTACTAAGACTCCGCTGTCTGTCTGTGCGTCTGTCACCAGGCTTTATATCATGAACCGTGACGGTTAGTCAGTTAACATTTTCACAGATGATGTATTTTTGTCTCGAACTAAGTATGTATTCCTAGACCATCGCCATTTGATGAAATATGTAATAATTAGCAAAAGGTTAAACTCTCAGCCGGATCACTTCTGCAATAGACGCTAATGATTGTAGATACCGCCATCAGAGGACGGAAGAGGTAGTCATCGAAGTTTCTATCCCACTAAATGTGTCAAAGGAAAACGTGTATATAATTCTACGTGAGGCTTGTTTCTAAGGCTGTGGCACTCACGACTCCACCATTGCCAACCGTGTCGCGTACAACAGGGCTTTTCGACTGCAACAATCCGGTGTATTTTAAATTGTGTTTTCGTTTGGAAAGGGTTGGGTGGTAAATCCACCAAAAATTACCACTGCGACCTAGTAGATCTATTATAACCTTCCCTTGCCATTGCCCAATTACTAGATTAGACGTTTAACATAGATAAATTAGTGAACAAACACTCAACCAGCGTCAATCACTCGCCACGAGTGAAGCGCTGTCTCTCTTATCAGCTGATCTTTAAGAAGTATGCTGCAGAGCTTTGCGTCGTTGGCGGGCGGGCGGGCGGGCGGCCGGGTGCGCATGCGCGCGTGCGGGGCGCGCCGCGGCGGCGCAGGCGCGGGCGGGCGCTCAGTACGCGCGCGCCTTTGCCATGGCTCGGTGGCTGAAGGCCCTAGCGGCGCTCCTAGTGCTCGCCGCGCCCGCGCTCGCGCGCAAGCCCGCCCCCGACCGCGCCGAGCCCCAGATCGAGGAGGTCACCGCCAAACAGCTGGAGCGCGTGCTGCAGGACAAGGACTTCGTGGCGGTGTACTGGTGTAAGTGCGCCTGGCGCGCGGCCAGCGGCTGTCGCAACCCGCCCGCCCCGGCCAAACGGGCGATCGCGCGAGTTAATGATCTTCGCGCCGTTATTCTCGAAGCGCCCGCCCGCCGCGTTATGCAACCGCAACGCTAGAACTTGACCCGGGCGCGGCCGGCGACGCCTAAAATGGCGCCGGCACCCGATCACCACGGCCCACCGCTGGGTGCTGGGGGCGCCAAGGCCGCCGGGCGCCTACGCTCGCGCACCGGCTAAAACTATAGCGGTGCGCGGTCCCCCGCCGAAATAGATAGCCCGTTACGTTCCGGCGGCATACCGACTATTTTCGTTTGTCGCCGACCGTCCTACAGTGTCCCGTTGACGTGCCGAAGCTTATGTCAAACGCGCGGCCGTCTCGCCGTACGCGGCGACGAACGTAGTCATTACTATTGTTACCAGCTCGTCATTATTATGTTACTGGCTCGTCAATAATATTGTTACCAGCTCTTCATCACACTCTCCATCGCACGGTGCTGCGAACGCGAAATGCCGAACTGAAAACACTGCTTTGCCCTCTATTCGCTCGGCGCTCTACCAAAATTTCGTTTGTCCAACTAACAAAAGTTTCGCGATAAATCAACGTCAACCGTCGAGATGACAAAACGGTCGTTTGGCTGTGCAGCTAAGGCTTTTTTGGAAGCTTCCGTAAAGACGATTGGTTTAAAACTGATTTCATAGCTTTAGGAGGCGGCGCGGTGGCGCGGCGGTTGCTTGGCGAGCTTCGCATCATTCCGACGTCAAAATAAACATAAACAAAACATTAGACTCCACGAGCGTTCGCAAGGACTGTCGTTATGCAAATTTTTCATTGTGCATTGAATTAGTTCTCATCAAGGATTAAAAAGTTAGAATAACTTTTTTTTAATATCAAATTTAAAATTTCCAAATGGCCAGTATAATTAAAAATGTAGTAATAATTTGCAGCCATGCCAAAATTTCATATTCTTTGAACTTTTATAAGATTGAAATAGTCTCGCGTGGGAAATTCATGAAAATTTTACAAAAAAAAAAGCACTTTCATCTTCATCAAGATTGGTTGGATTGATTGGAGTGATTACATGAATCAAGTTACAAAATTGGGGCCATGCCGCCCCAAACGCTTGATAACCCGCTTCTGCGTAAAACGAATTGTACCACGAAAATAGAACCCGTTGCTGGTTCGATGTTTAAGAGAAAAGACACAATTACGAAAACTCAACGCCACACAAATGTTTCGTTTGGAAATCGTCCAAAATCATAGCGGGTTATCAATTTAGTTAGCGGATTAATGGAAACGTGACATTTTTCCTCGGCCGATTGTCTGTGGCGCGCCGAGGTTGACTTCGAAATAAATAAAACTGGGAACAAACATGGCCTACCGGAATGAGGGACAACCGTGTCGTCGGCAAAATTATTTTCGTTTTCATGTATTAACATAATACCATCGTTGTTGCCAATACTAGTCGACTTTGAAAATTTTACTTTTAACATACATACTATCATCTAAAAGTACCTGGAGGAGAAAAAAGTAGAAGAGTTTTTTGCGGCGAAATTTACCATCATATTCGTATGATATTTTTCATTCCCTGAAAACAGGGATAAAAGGACATTTTCTAAAAATGAAACCTAGCTAGATCGATTTTTCGCCCCCGAATCTACGCACATACGAAATTTCATAAAAATCGCTGGAGCCGTTTCCGAGATTCCGATTATATATGCGATTATATATGAATTGCTCGTTTAAAGGATAAGATATCAATTAACAACTTCGGTTATGTTCCGAATAACCTTGGATAGTTTCATTTCAGTTATCATAGGTTGTGCAATGAAGTTTTTATTCACGATGTTACAGGCTACTTTTTACTAAATTAAAAAAATAATTCATTTAATTGCTCTCTAAATTGATTACTTACATCTAAAAGAATTTTATACGATTTTTTTTGTTATATTTTAAGCATATTAAACATACGTATTAATAGAACATTGCAAACTTATATTGATGTATCTGCATCAAGTGCAAAACAGCGTCAAATGTATTATTTGTAAAGAAAATTGTAATATTTTTTTATGTGAAAAGTTGCCAAACGAGCAGACGGTTCACCTGATGTTAAGTGAATACCGCCGCCCATGGACATCTGCTACACCCGAGGTTCTGCATCGGTTACAGATAAGTTGACAACCTTTTGAAAATTGGGCTCCGACTACCTCACTCATCAGACGAAACGCGAAAGTATTTGTCAACTTTCACTTTACGCTGGTCTTCTGTGAGGTTGTGGTACTTACCCGGACAGGTCTGCCCATTCGTGCATCAGCTGAGGCTGCTGCGTGTCTCTACCACCGTAATATGAAGATAACATTATAGGTAGATATGTTTAATCGATAGCAGTGAAAAGTTTAAAGCCTACTTGCCTCTTATTGCTAGTCAAGTATGACGTTGAAGATATTTTAAACATATAAGAAGAAAGTTTAGAACACGTTTAAAAGTAGTTTTCCTTAGGTAACACATAACATTGTCCAAGAATCAAATGCTATCTGGTGTTAATTTCCACACCTCTGGATTGTCACTAGAGTAATACATAAATACAAAGAAGTTAATATTCACACACATTTCTAACGCGCGAACGGCCAATGTATACATCTAATAAAGATAGATTATTGGACAATAATTTGTTAAGAACTCAACGGTATATTTCATATTATTTTAATCCGTACCTTCTATTATTTTTAAATAATTTTATGGCAACTTCATAGTATACAGACGTTGAATCCCAGTTTATTTTTAAATTTTTTTGCTACGCCATAATTCTTGTCGTACGCATTTCTGACGTTATGTCCTCGATTTCACCATGAATCAGAGTTTGCTGGAAATAGTGAAAATATCTAAGGTCCTCGATTTAGCCCATCGTTTTCATAATCTGTTCTTATTAATGTCTCGAGTTATGTTTGTTCTTTTACATACCATGCTGTAGTTTAAATAATAATAATTTTCGGCCCTCTCCATCGAAGAATCCCTTGACAATATTTACGCTAAGACCCACAGCTTACAATGGTAAGCGACTTGTTTATATTTTTATTTGTACTCTTTCACTATGTTCACTTTGTTACATGAAGACGCATGACGCGACTAATCCTTTAACATTGGCATGATTAAATTTAATCATATATATTTTTTTATCCTTTTCTACTTTAAACAGATTTTTTTATGAATTATTGTTTTTTATCAATTATTTCTAAACTTGATAATAACAAAAAAATTACATGTAGACTCTATATTAAGTCGGTATCATCGTAAATGTGCTTACGCACTGTATAAATCATGAACTGCCAAAACAACTTAACACGGAGGAAAAAACTGTAATGTATTTCGGTAGAAGCGCATATTTCGATAGGCACATCGTGTGAAATTGCAAACTCATGAGAAAAAAAAGAAGATTTAAATTTCGAGGTTAATTTCGTTTTGATTAATAGGAACCGTCGGCTGCTGTTGCCTACATCGATTTGCTTAGAAACAAATGAAAATGCAAAAAAGCGCGGGAAAGTTGGGTGTACCGGACGTATTTGGGCGGACTGTTTAGATTGAGGCAGAAAATGGCCGCCAAGCTTCGTCAATTATTTCTTCCGTTTAAATATTTGCAATATTCATTATCATTTATTTATTTTTTGCCGTAAATCAATGTACTCTTTATTTCAATTTATTATTGCGATTCGAGTATATCATAGAGTGTATGGTATTTGCGAGAAAAGAATCCTTGAGAAGGCTAGATTTACCGCAGTCTGAGTTTATGTAGCTAGGTTTAGCCAGGCCACTGCAGATGCTCGGTGTTGTTTCGTAAAATCATTTCGTTCGACAACATTTTACAATAACTGGTACTTAAAAACGTGAAAATTTTTAGTGGGAAAACGATTCTGATGGTTCAAAAGTGCACTAAGATTATCAAGAGCTAAGTCAATGGTCGTCTAGCCGGTCTATGCTGCATTATTTTGGATGGTTTCAAAGTTGCAATTTGTCAATTATTAATGACCTTCTCCTACGTTTGAACCGAGCTAAGATCGGTCAAATATTTTAATTTTTTATTTAAATTTCATAGGACATGATAAACTAGTTTCTGAAACATTGTAATTATGAAAGTAAGAAAACTCTTTACGTTATATTTTATGTTGACATTGAAATTTTGCGAGATAAAAGGGGAAAGGAAAGGATTTATTATTGTTTAATCTGCAACGCAATTCTTGACAATTCGGCAACTAAAATAAAAAAGGAAATCTATATTGACGAAACGAAAAATTCCCATTCGCTATACTCACCGGAGATAAGTTTTTATAAAAGTACTTTTTTTAAGGTTCATAAAATTAAGCTGAAACAGATTTGAATGGACCATGCGACATGCACTTATCTATATCTTATGTAGTACAGTGTCTTTTTTCTTTCATAGCCCGACCGATATGTTGCCAAATATAAAGTCTTTAGCTTTAGTAACAATATTAAATAGTTAATGTAAGAATTTAATATAGACTATTTAATGCAGATCGCATCAGACTATTTAACGATGTTACGAAATATTACGCAAATTTTCCACAATACACGTGTATTTAGGCCAAGAACGCAATTCCTTCGTCGCCGTATGGAGTTGTCGCCGTCGTAGAAATTATAAAAAGCAAAAAGACGTATAGTTGAATGTTCCTAACAGTTGTTTTAAAAATCAGAGTTACTGATACAAATTATTGTTAGATTGTTTTTGTTTTACTTATTTACGATGTTTTGTCGGCTTACGCTCATTTTATAATGTTTCTTTTTGTATATCTTGTGTTAAACCTAAAATTACGCTCCACTGCTTCAAGCGTAGCATGCATGTCGAATGAAATGTATGACAAAATGTTATAAAGATAACATTTAGTACAGTACTTATTAAATAAATCTAATTGCAAAACTAATTATCATGTTAGAGAAAGATAAATTAACAAAACATTTTGCCATTGACA